GCACTTCACGTGGCCTCTAAGTGCACCTAGCTTGGCACAAGCGCTGTGGTGACCTCGCCACCACTTAAAGTGGTGAATGTCAGTGAGCATGTGTCAGCAAATGCGTGTTGGTGTAAACGTGTCAGCAAATGCGTGTTGGTGTAAACGTGTCAGCAAATGCGTGTTGGTGTATACGTGCGAGTATGTTAGTGTGTGGGTGTGTTCGTGTTAATGTATTAGTGTGTGGGTGTCAGTGCATGTGTGCACATGCCGTGGGGGGAGGTGATGCAGCGGCTCGCGCGCTGCGAACCCGGCGACCCGAGTTCCATTCCCGCTCATGGCCATTGCCGGCGACGATTATCTGAACCGGTCCTGGGCCTCCCATAGGTCGACTTAGCCTCAATTGAGTACCTGTTGTGGTGTGGAAACATCGCCACTCTGGAAACAAAGGTGGCCGGGCGTGGTGCTAGCCACCCCACCCCCTTTGTGTTTGCCGTGTCGGTCTTCATAGGTGCTCGCTAACAACACTTGCCCCAACAGTCTGTTTCGGCAATAGGGGGGATTTTTGTCTTTTTGTCTTGTGTACGTGCCTACGTGCCCTAATACCCTTACAGAAGCATGTTTGTGTCTTTTCCAAGATTCAGACACACTCTTCCACACATACACACACAATACAAAGATCCTCCGTATAGCCTCAACAGACTGTTGGGGCAGGTGCTGTTAGCGAGCACCTATTAAGGCCGGCAAGGCACACGAGGGGGTGGGTGGTCAGCACCACGCCAGACCGCCTTTGTCTCCCCAGTGGCGATGTTTACTACGCACCAGGTACTCATTTGACACACACACACATACTCCTCCCACACACACCACCGACACACCCTCTCCCACACACCTTGCGAGTGAAGCGACACACACACCCAAGGAGTGAGCACACCCTCTCATTCCTGTGGTCTCCGCTGTCTGCCAGGACACCGAGCCAGATGCCAACTCACTGCAGACGCCCACACAGATACAAACACCGTCCTGTGTGGGGACGGAGGGGTCCTAGAGCCATAACGGTTCCACTGGACCCCAACACCCCCCCCCCACGCACATAAAACAAAAGACAAAGACCCCCTGTGTAGCCTACGCAAGCTGTCGGGGGCAAGTGCTGTTCGTGAGCACCTATCAAAAGCCGGCTAGGAAACACGAGGGGCTAGGTTACATGCCGCACAAGGTATTTAAGGCTGAGTCGACCCAGGGACAGGCCCAGGACCAGTTGAAATATTCGCCACTGTTGTTGTTACTGAGCGGGAATCGAACTCAGGTCACTGGGTCCATAGCGCAGCGCACTAACCACTGCACCACCAATCCCCATACAATGCCCATGTACGTCTACAAAGACAAAGGTCCCCCGTATAGCCTTGACAGACTTGTGGGATCAAGTGGTGTTAGTGAGCACCTATGAAGGCCGACAGGTGCTCACACACAAAGTGACACACGTACACAAACCCACAACAGCAACAAACAACAGCCATTGAGTGGCGGTGGAATCACCACAGCTCTTGTGCCAGACTAGGTGCACTCTGAAGCTATCAGGGCGAAGTGTTGAAGGCTCTTGCAGCTGGCAGGTCACGGGACAGACCCATGTGCTGTGGGTTGACTGACCGAGATGATTGACAGATGCCAACGCAAAGAGGCAGTCACACAGAGACAACGTAGCCCACACACCACGCGAGTGGGTGACATTGTGCGGCGCTTCTGCAGCCGTCTGGAACGCTCTTCCTTCCGATATTAGGAAGCCACTGGAGCTTTTAAATCACTTAGATTGAAATCTCACTTCTTGAAACCTGATTTTTTTTATTTTAGTTTGTTGTCCTTCCCCCGCACCTTCAATCGGCACGGCTGGCTACATAGGGTGCGAAATAAGTTAAAATATGTGGCATATTAGCAATGGACCACTCTTTTAATAAGTCCTCATGTGCTGTGCAGTACATCAATGCACGGGTGTACACCGGCATGTGATGACTGAGTTGGGCCTGGCAGGGTTATTGATTAACCGGACGTGTACACCAGTCACGTGGTTAATGGCGACTCGGTTGCGGATTGCTGTGTGACACGCGTGCCGTTGCATTGTACAGATTGACCACAAGAAATGTGTTTGCCCTCGATTTGGAGCTCCTGCCCACGTCCTTCATTTCGAGTGTGCAACAAATAGAAGAGACACATGCATACTAAGCTCTGTGAAAAAGTTGTTGAATTACCCTGAAGGTGGAAATTCCCCCAGTTTCGCGTGGAGTTACGCTGCAAAGCAGTGGAACAAAACAACTCACCCGATTTCACACATTTTCAGTAAATGCGTCCCCATTTACACGTAACTCAGCAGGAAGTGATAAAACAGTGCGTACGTGCGTTATGGCGTCTCACAATTTGGAGCGGTAGTGGTTGGAGCGATAGTGGTTAGCACACTGCACTACGAACCCAGCTTTCCGAGTTCGATTCCCGTTCACAGCCAACACCAGTGACGATTATCTGAACAGGTCCTGGGCCTCCCCTGGGTCAACTCAGCCTCAAATGAGTCTCTGCTACGATGTGTATACATCGCCACTAGGAAGACAAAGGCAGCCGGGCGTGGTGTTGGCCACCCACCCCCTCGTGTGCCGTGCCGGCCTTCATAGAGTGCTCGCTAACAGCACCTGCCCCAACAGTCTGTTAAGGCTACACGAGGGATCTTTGTCTTTGTATGAATGTGTGTGACTATGTGGAGGAGGAGACTCGTGAAGGTCGCTGCTACTGGGCAGTTGGCGGAGGAGCGACGCTCACAACAACGAGCGGAGCGCCGGGCGGATAAGACCACACAGCAAGTTGGCACAGTAGGGAGGCACAGCTGGTGGCATCTGTCAGTCCTCTCAGTCGGTCAGCCCATGGCAGCAGCTGGGTCTTGCTGTAAACTGCCAGCGAGCCTGCTGCACTTCACGTGGCCTCAAGCTACACCCAGCCTGGCACAAGCGCTGTGGCCGCACAGCCACTCTGTGGCACGTATCAAATGGCGGATGTTGTGTAGGGGGAGCGGTGGTGCAGTGGTTAGCGCACTGAGCTCGATTCCAACACGAGCAAGCGAGTGATATCAAAACCGTTCCTGGGTCTCTTCTAGGTTTAATAGGTCCTTAAATGAGTAATGGACATGTAAACGGCCGGGCGTGATTGCTATCCACACAACTCACTAATTGCTCACTAAGCACTTGCCCCAGCAGTTGGTATGTGTGTGTGTCTGTGTGTGTCTGTGTGTGTGTCTGTGTGTGTGTCTGTGTATGTGTCTGTGTATGTGTCTGTGTATGTAAACCACTGGACGGGTTCCGCAGGATTGGAAGGATGCCCTGGTGGTCCCCCTCTTTAAGAAGGGGGACCGCACAGACTGTAACAACTACAGGGGCATCTCACTCCTCAGTGTGCCAGGAAAGGTCCTGGCAAGGGTTATTCAACATCGCCTTGCCAGGCACGCTGAGGAGAGGCTTGCGGAGCCCCAATGCGGTTTCAGGAAAGGGCGGTCCTGCACAGATGCCATATTTTCTGTCTGTCTGCTACAGCAGAGGTGTAGGGAATTCCAACAAGACCTACATCTCTGCTTTATTGACCTGGTCAAGGCCTATGATACCATCAGTACGGGCTAGAGAAGAGATGGAGTGATGTGGTACATGAGGACGTGGAGCTGAGTGGACTTTCCGATGACTGGTACCAGCGGTGTCAAGATCGGCCTCTGTGGAGGAGACTCGTGAAGGACGCTACTGGGCAGTTGGAGGCAGTCGCCCTCCAACAATAACGGAGGGCGGAGGAGCGACGCTCACAACAACGAGCGGAGCGCCGGGTGGCTAAAGCACAGCAGGTTGGCACAGTAGGGGGCACAGGTGGTGCATCAGCCAGTCATCTCAGTCATCTTAGTCAGTCGACCCGTGGCACTTGGGTCTGCCCCGTGACCTCCTGCCAGCGGGCGTTCGACACTTCACGTGGCCTCAAGGTGCACATGGCCTGGCACAAGCGTCGTGGTGACGTCACCGCCACTTAGTGGCGAATGGCGGTTGTTGTTGTGTGTGTGTATGTGTGTGTCTGTGTGTGTGTGTGTATCTGGGGGTGTGTGTCTGTGTGTGTATCTGGGGGTGTGTGTGTCTGTGTGTGTCTGTCTGTGTGTCTGTGTGTGTGTGTCTGTGTGTTTGTACCCTGTGTGTGTCTGTGTGTTTGTACCGTGTGTGTGTCTGTGTGTGTGTGTCTGTGTGTGTGTGTCTGTGTGTGTATCTGGGGGTGTGTGTGTCTGTGTGTGTATCTGGGGGTGTGTGTGTCTGTGTGTGTATCTGGGGGTGTGTGTGTCTGTGTCTGTGTGTGTGTCTGTGTGTCTGTGTGTGTATCTCTGCCGCAATATAATCCATGTTGGATGATGAATGCTGCTGACGGGGGTGACGAGGATGATGACGTGGATAATCTGTGCTTCGTAATTCCATAATTCCATCTCATGTTCAGCAGCCAGTCGAGGTGAGTGGCCCGAAAAAAAATGTTGGTTTACCTGCACAGCACATCCAGTATGACCCACGTGGAGTATGACCTCTCACTATGGCTGTGCCACGTCTGGTATGACCTCTCGCTATGGCTGTGTCACGTCCGGTATGACCTCTCGCTTTGGCTGTGTCACGTCCGGTATGACCTCTCGCTTTGGCTGTGTCACCTCCGGTATGACCTCTCGCTATGGCTGTGTCACGTCCGGTATGACCTCTCGCTATGGCTGTCAAGTCCAGTATGACCTCTCGCTATGCCTGTGTCACGTCTGGTATGACCTCTCGCTATGGCTGTCAAGTCCAGTATGACCTCTCGCTATGGCTGTGTCACGTCCGGTATGACCCCTCGCTTTGGCTGTGTCACGTCTGGTATGACCTCTCGCTATGGCTGTCAAGTCCGGTATGACCTCTCGCTATGGCTGTGTCACGTCCGGTATGACCTCTCGCTATGGCTGTGTCACGTCCGGTATGACCTCTCGCTATGGCTGTAAAGTCCGGTATGACCTCTCGCTATGGCTGTCAAGTCCGGCATGACCTCTCGCTATGGCTGTGTCACGTCCGGTATGACCTCTCGCTATGGCTGTGTCACGTCTGGTATGACCTCTCGCTATGGCTGTCAAGTCCGGTATGACCTCTCGCTATGCCCGTGTCACGTCCGGTATGACCTCTCGCTATGGCTGTGTCACGTCCGGTATGACCTCTTGCTATGGCTGTCAAGTCCGGTATGATCTCTCGCTTTGGCTGTGTCACATCCGGTAAGACCTCTCGCTATGGCTGTCAAGTCCGGTATGACCTCTCGCTATGGCTGTGTCACGTCCGGTATGACCTCTCGCTATGGCTGTGTCCGTCCGGTATGACCTCTCGCTTTGGCTGTGTCACATCCGGTAAGACCTCTCGCTATGGCTGTGTCACGTCCGGTATGACCTCTCGCTATGGCTGTGTCACGTCCGGTATGACCTCTCGCTATGGCTGTGTCCGTCCGGTATGACCTCTCGCTTTGGCTGTGTCACGTCCGGTATGACCTCTCACCATGGCTGTGTCCGTCCGGTATGACCTCTCGCTTTGGCTGTGTCACATCCGGTAAGACCTCTCGCTATGGCTGTGTCACGTCCGGTATGACCTCTCGCTATGGCTGTGTCACGTCCGGTATGACCTCTCGCTATGGCTGTGTCCGTCCGGTATGACCTCTCGCTTTGGCTGTGTCACGTCCGGTATGACCTCTCGCTATGGCTCTGTCACGTCCGGTATGACCTCTCGCTATGGCTCTGTCACGTCCGGTATGACCTCTCGCTATGGCTGTCAAGTCCAGTATGACCTCTCGCTATGGCTGTGTCACGTCTGGTATGACCTCTCGCTATGGCTGTCAAGTCCGGTATGACCTCTCGCTATGGCTGTCAAGTCCGGTATGACCTCTCGCTTTGGCTGTGTCATGTCTGGTATGACCTCTCGCTATGGCTGTCACGTCCGGTATGACCTCTCGCTATGGCTGTGTCACGTCTGGTATGACCTCTCGCTATGGCTGTCAAGTCCGGTATGACCTCTCGCTATGGCTGTGTCACGTCTGGTATGACCTCTCGCTATGGCTGTCAAGTCCGGTATGATCTCTCGCTATGGCTGTGTCACGTCCGGTATGACCTCTCGCTATGGCTGTGTCACGTCTGGTATGACCTCTCGCTATGGCTGTCAAGTCCGGTATGACCTCTCGCTATGGCTGTGTCACGTCCGGTATGACCTCTCGCTATGGCTGTGTCACGTCTGGTATGACCTCTCGCTATGGCTGTCAAGTCCGGTATGACCTCTCGCTATGGCTGTGTCACGTCCGGTATGACCTCTCGCTATGGCTGTCAAGTCCGGTATGACCTCTCGCTATGCCCGTGTCACGTCCGGTATGACCTCTCGCTATGGCTGTGTCATGTCCGGTATGACCTCTCGCTATGGCTGTGTCACGTCCGGTATGACCTCTCGCTATGGCTCTGTCACGTCCGGTATGACCTCTCGCTATGGCTGTGTCACGTCCGGTTTGACAACTCGCGATGGCTGTCAAGTCCGGTATGACCTCTCGCTTTGGCTGTGTCACATCCAGTATGACCTCTCGCTATGGCTCTGTCACGTCCGGTATGACCTCTCGCTATGGCTGTGTCACATCCGGTTTGACAACTCGCGATGGCTGTGTCACCCTGTCTGACCAAAACCCTAACCACGCACGTCACTGGCTGCCCGTGCCGATGAGTAGAATTAGGGACAAAAACTCGGGCACAGTGGATTATGTGGTGGCGGTGGGGGTGGGGAAGGGGGTGAAATAGAGGCCAGACGGATCACCCAAACGTCCATCATCTCCACCTCCACAAGTAGACAGCAGCCACTCGCTCCACATACAAGCACACTGCACGTGCGTGGAGGACAATGCCACTCGGGCGCTGATAAATAATCCACCCCTCTCTCTCTCCACCCCCTCGTGTTTCTCTTCGGGTGTTCGCGAACAGCACTTGCCCCAATAGTCAGAAAATGCTATACTGTGGGGGGAGGGGGGGGTATTTGTCGTTGTGTAAACAGTATTTAATCAGACAAGTGTCTGTGTTTTTTGTGGTATAAATAGTGGAAGAAAGCATGAGCCAGCACACACACACACACACGCCTCAACATCACCACTCCACGTATAATCAATGAATTTCCTGAAAATATCTAAACAGTCTATGTGGTGGATCGCAGAGCTTGGGCAATTGTTGATGGCGCCAGATCAGCGCGTGGCTGCCTTGGTCTGTGGGGTTCTTCCTCAGCGATTATAACAGATGCCATTTCCATCAACGACCACGCGATATATAAAACTACACACTACCACTAACCACTACCAGCACTCCCACGACCATCACTAACCACTACCAGCACTACCACTAACCACTACCAGCACTACCACTAACCACTACCAGCACTCCCACTAACCACTACCAGCACTACCACTAACCACTACCAGCACTACCACTAACCACTACCAGCACTACCACTACCCACTACCAGCAATCCCAGTACCACCACCACTACCAGCACTACCACTAACCACTACCAGCAATCCCACTACCACTAACCACTACCAGCACTACCACTAACCACCACGACAAGTACTACATTTACCACTTCCAGAACCACCTCTACCACAACCACTACAATTATCACAACTACCACTACCACAACCACCACTACAATTACCACTACCACTACAATTACCACAACCACCACTACTACCACAACCACCACTACTACCACTATAATTACTACAACCACCACTACTACTACAACCACCACCACTACCACCACTACATATACCACAACCACCACTACTACAATTACCACAACCACCACTACTACAGTTACCACTACCGCCACTACCACAACCACCACCACCACAACCACCACTACAATTACCACTACCACAACCACCACTTCTATAATTACCACTAACTACCACTACAATTACCACAACTACCACGACCACAACTACCACTACAAGCACCACTACAAGCACAATTACCATTACCACAACCACCACCACTACAATTATCACTACCACCACTATAATTACGAAAACCATCACTACAAAGATCACTACCACAACCACCACTACAATTACCATTACCACAACCACCACTACTACCACAACTACCACCACGATAATTACCACAACCACCACTACAATTACCACAACCACCACTACAATTACCACAATCACCACTACAAAACAATTACCACAACCAACACTACCACCAATACAATTACCACTACTACCACCATCACTACAATTATCACTCCCACAACCACCACTACAATAACCAATTTCATAACTACCACCACTACCACTAATACAATTACAACTTCGACCACTACCAGCACTAACAATGGTATAATTACTACTGTCACAACTACTGCCAACATTTCCAATAGCAACAGGCAAGTGGGTGAATGTGATCGCGTGAATGTCATCGGGTGAGTGATCGGGTGAATGTCATCGGGCTAGTGATCGGGTGAGTGATCGGGTGAGTGAACAAGTGTGTCAGTTGGTCGTCAAATTATTGAACAGGCGAGCGAGTGATTGAATGACTGAGCAGGTGAGTGAGCAAGAGGGCAAATAAATGAGCGAATGAATGACCGAAGAAGTGAGTGATTCGATAAGTGAGTGGTCTGGTGAGTGAGTGGTGGGGTGGTGGGTGAGTTATTGGATGGTGAGTAGGTGGGTGTGGGGAGTGAATGAGTGAGCGAGTGATTGGGTGTGTGGCAGGGTGAGTGAGGCGATGAACGACTGATTGGGTCACTGGATGAGTGGAGGGGAGGTGATCGAGTGGGTTGGTGATTGGTTGGTTGAGTGAGTGAGCGGGAGGTGAGTGAACGAGCGCGCGGGTAGGGGGGGGGCGAGTAGGGGAGGGGGGGGCGAGTAGGGGGGGGGGGCGAGTAGGGGGGGGGCGCGCGAGTAGGTGGGAGGCGCGAGTAGGAGGGGGGGAAGCGAGTGGTGGTCGAGTGGGGGGTGGGGGTAAGAGCGTGGGGGGGGGTGAATGAGAGAGTGGAGGTGGGGGATATTGGGGGTGAGTGGGGGGGGCATGGGGGGGCATGAGGGGCGAGTGGGGGGGGCATGGGGGTGAGTGAGTGGGGGGGGCATGAGGGGTGAGTGGGAGGGCATGGGGGGTGAGTGGGAGGGCATGGGGGGTGAGTGAGGGGGGTGAGTGGGGGGGCATGGGGGGTGAGTGAGTAGTGGGGGTGAGTGGGGGGGGGCATTGGGGTGAGTGAGGGGGCGACTGAGTGGAGGGGGGCGTGGGGGTTTAGTGGGGATGGGGGGGGCATGGGGGTATTTGAGTTGGGGGGTGAGTGAGCGTGGGGGGGGGTAAGTGGGGGGGGGGTAAGTGAGTGGAGGGGGCATGGGGGTTGAGTGAGTGGGGGGGGCATAGGGGGTGAGTGGGGTTGCGTGGGGGTGGATGATGGGGGGGGGGGGTGAATGAGAGAGTGAGGGAGGGGCGAGACTCGTGAGTGAGTGGGAGGGGTGATAAAGCGAAGCGATGGCTGCTGTGCCTGGGGGTGTGTGTGTCTGTGTGTGTGTGTGTACCTGGGGGTGTGTGTGTGTCTGTGTGTGTGTGTCTGTGTGTCTGTGTGTGTGTGTACCTGGGGGTGTGTGTGTCTGTGTGTGTGTCTATGTGTGTGTGTCTGTGTGTGTGTGTCCATGTGTGTGTCTGTGTGTGTGTGTGTCTGTGTGTGCCTGGGGGTGTGTGCATGAGTCACGTAACGGCGCGAGGAGCGGCCATGATTAACTGTTGCAAGGTCACGGAGGAAGAGAAACCGCAGAGGTCACCACACGCGCCGCTCTCCCCCACATGCCGTCCCGTGAGCAGTCATCACCACCACCATCACCAATTACCATAATCACCAATCACCATCATCACCATCACCACCACCATCACCAATTACCATAATCACCAATCACCATCATTACCAATGATCATCACCATCATTACCAATCACCATCATCATCCATCACCCAATCACCATCACCAATCACAATCACCATCACCACCATCATCACCAATTACCATAATCACCAATCACCATCATTACCAATGATCATCACCATCATTACCAATTACCATCATCATCCATCACCCAATCACCATCACCAATCACAATCACCACCATCATCATCATCACCACCATCATCATCATCATCACCAATCACCACCATCATCACCATCATCACCATCATCACCATCATCACCAATTACCATAATCACCAATCACCATCATTACCAATGATCATCACCATCATTACCAATGATCATCACCATCATTACCAACCACCATCACCAATCACCATCACCACCATCATCATCGTCACCACCATCATCATCACCAATCACCACCATCATCACCAATCACCACCATCATCACCACCATCACCAATCACCACCACCATCACCAATCACCACCATCATCACCAATCACCACCATCATCACCACCATCATCACCACCACCATCATCATCACCACCATCATCACCATCACCACCACCATCATCATCACCACCATCACCAATCACCACCATCATCACCAATCACCACCATCATCACCACCATCATCATCACCACCACCATCACCACCATCATCCTCACCACCATTCAACGACGATCCACTGCACCGCTCCATCTCCGTGGAGGAGGCCCCTCTCGGGTGCGTGCAACTCGCCATTAATATAATAAATATTAATATAAGGCGCTCAATCTACCCTCACGGAATCTCGTGTTTCAGGAAGGCTGCGGCTGGCTACCATGGGGAGGTTTGGCTATAAATTCCGCGTACAAATACCGAGGGTTTGAGCTGCCGCCTCCGCGTGCGAGAGAAATTTGAGAACCGCAGAAAAGAAGTCGTGAACGACCCCACCTCGCGTCCAAAGACAAAGATCCCCAAAGACCGCACAGGCTACACCGCCTGTTGGGGGCAAGTGCCGTTAGCGAGCACCTATTAAGGCCGGCACGGCGTGGTGTGGGGTGGCCAACACCACGCCCGGCCGCCTTTGTCTCCCCAAAGCTGATGTTTACACACAGCGCCAGGTAACGTTGTGGCTGGAGTCGATCTAGGGAGTGTTCAAATGCCACGCGCAAACGGGTGATTCAGTAGTCACGTAGCAATGGGTGTGTGTGTGTTACATCATGTGGCGTCCTGATGCAAGCCATCACACGCACGCACGCACACAGACGAAGGAACCCCAACCCCGTGTAGCCTGCACAGGCTGGCGGGGAAAGTGCTGTTCTAGTGAGCAGCTTACGTGGTGGGTGGTGCAAACCAGCCGCGCCCGGCCGCATTTATCTCTCTTCCCCGAGTGTGTGTGTGTCTTAGCCTGTATTCGGGTTGCAAAAAGACAACACGGTAAAACCGATAACCGTTTCTTCTTTGCAGAAACGGTTACCGGTTTACGAAAGTCAGAAACCTGTGATCGTTTCATACACTCGATAACCGGTTCTGAAAGTCATAAACCGGTAACCGTTTTCAGAAGAATGTTTACGAACTCACGACACCTCGTCTGTGTGCGCAGCTGTACCGGGTGTGAGTGTGATACGTGGGAGCGGTGGCGCAGTGGTTAGCGCACTGCGCTGCTCACCCACCCGCTCACGGCCTCCAAACATCGGTAACAAACATGTTGAACCAGGTCCTGGACCTCCCCTAGGTCGACTCAACCTTAAGGAGGAGTTGTACCTGGTGCGATGTGTGAAACGTCAGCACTGGGGAGACAAAGGCGGGCAGGTTCGGTGCTGACCATCTTCAAAGGTACTACTCACTACCATCACTTGCCCCAGCAGTATGTTAGAGGCTACACGGGGGACCTGTGGCTGTGTGTGCGTGAGGAAGCGGCGTGCATTAGTAATGAGGAACCACTCGTTGACGTCACTGAGCCTGCATCAATACAGTGCCTCTATTAATACACATAGTGACACACAGACACATAGACACACACAGAGACACACACAGACACATAGACACAGAGACACACACACAAACACATAGACACAGAGACACACACACAGAGAGACACACAGACACATAGACAAAGACAAAGAGACACACACAGACACATCGACACACACACAGACACATAGACAAAGACACACACAGACATATAGACACACATACACACAGACACACAGACATATAGACAGACACACAGACACACACACACAGACATATAGACACACACAGAGACACAGACATATAGACAGACACACAGACACACACAGAGACACACAGACACACACAGAGACACACAGACATACACAGAGACACAGACATATAGACAGACACACAGACACACACAGAGACACACAGACACACACAGAGACATATAGACACACAGACATATAGACACACAGACACACACAGAGACACACACAGACATATAGACACACAGACACACACAGAGACACACACAGACACACACAGAGACACATACATAGACACACAGACACACACAGAGACACACAGAGACACAGAGACACACACAGAGACACACACAGTCGACACCCAAGCACTGTAGGATACACAGTAACATTCGCCTCGACCTATCCACTGCTGGATGAAGGATGAACCCACATGCACAGTACACACCCATTCATACTGTACATTATGTATACACACCCAGATACACAGACAAAGATACCCCGTATGGACTTAATAGTATTGGGGCAAGTGCTGTTCGCGAGCACATATGAAGGCCGGCATGGCCGCCTTTGCCTCCCCACTGCTGATTATTACACACTGCACCAGGTATTCATTTGTCTCACCACTGCTGATTATTACACACTGCGCCAGGTATTAATTTGTCTCACCACTGCTGATTATTACACACTGCACCAGGTATTAATTTGTCTCACCACTGCTGATTATAACACACTGCACCAGGTATTAATTTGTCTCCCCACTGCTGATTATTACACACTGCACCAGGTATTAATTTGTCTCACCACTGCTGATTATTACACACTGCCCCAGGTATTAATTTGTCTCACCACTGCTGATTATTACACACTGCACCAGGTATTAATTTGTCTCACCACTGCTGATTATTACACACTGCACCAGGTATTACTTGGTCTCACCACTGCTGATTATTACACACTGCACCAGGTATTCATTTGTCTCACCACTGCTGATTATTACACACTGCACCAGGTATTAATTTGTCTCACCACTGCTGATTATTACACACTGCCCCAGGTATTAATTTGTCTCACCACTGCTGATTATTACACACTGCCCCAGGTATTAATTTGTCTCACCACTGCTGATTATTACACACTGCCCCAGGTATTAATTTGTCTCACCACTGCTGATTATTACACACTGCACCAGGTATTACTTGGTCTCACCACTGCTGATTATTACACACTGCACCAGGTATTAATTTGTCTCACCACTGCTGATTATTACACACTGCACCAGGTATTAATTTGTCTCACCACTGCTGATTATTACACACTGCACCAGGTATTAATTTGTCTCCCCACTGCTGATTATTACACACTGCACCAGGTATTAATTTGAGGCTGAGTCGATCTAGGGGAGGCCCACGATCTGTTCAGACAACCGGCACACGCCCAGGTGCACACACCCTGACATTGAGGCACATGCAACACATTCGTTAATAACACTGCGGGCTTAAATAGAAACAAAATATCTGACGCTTCGGGTAATGAGCCTTCTTCATAGCACGCACAACGATAAAGATCCCCCGTATAGCCTGAGCAGACTGTTGGGGCAAGTGCTGTTCGCGAGTAGCAGCAGCACCTATGAAGGCAGACGCGGCACACGAGGGGGTGGGTGGCCAGCACCACGCCCGACCGCCTTCGTCTCCCCCGTGGCGGCTTCCCCACCGTGCCAGGTACTACATTTGAGGCTGAGTCGACCTAGGGGAGCCCCATGGCCGTGAGCGGGAATTGAACCCAGGTTGTCAGGTTCATCGCGCGCCAACTGCTCCACTCGCCGTGCTTATCAGAGGTGCGGATATGACACAAAGATAAAGCCAGCGAGACACACACACACTGACATACAACCAATCACACAGCCACGTACAGCCACACACCCCGACTTCCACGTTCACTCACACACACACAGCGACATTCACACACCCCACACACACAGCGACATTCACACACAGCGACATTCACACACCCCACACACACAGCGACATTCACACACACACAGCGACATTCACACACCCCACACACATTTAGCCTCCCCCCGAATCCTCACCTTTTTCCCCACATCGTCAAACTGCTCCGTGAAGTAGTAGGCGAGGAGGTGCGAGAAAATGATCATGGTGCCTCTCTCCTGTTCCTGCTGCTGTTCCTGCTGCTGCTACTCACTCCGCACGTCTCCTGTTCCTGCTGCTGCTGTTCCTGCTGCTGCTGCTACTAACGCCTGTCGTCTCCTGCTGCTGTTGCCGGCTGGAGCGGATGAATGAATGCGCACTCTCTCCCCCTCTCTCTCTCTCCCTCCCCTCTCTCTCCCCTCTCTCCCTCCCCCCTCTCTCCTTCCTCCCCTCTCTCCCTCCCCCCTCCTTCCTCCCCTCTCCTTCCTCCCCTCTCTCTCTCCCCCTCTCTCCCCCTCCCCTCTCTCCCTCCTCTCTCCTTCCTCCCCTCTCTCTCCCTCCCCTCCCCCTCTCTCTCCCTCCCCTCCCCCTCTCTCTCCCTCCCCTCCCTCTCTCTCCCTCCCCTCTCCCTCCCCCTCCCCGTGCATGGCCCAACCCACCGCTGCTCCACCCTCTGCCTTCATCTCGCTCATCTCTCTCTCCCTCCATCTCCCCCACTGTCCCGCACTCTCCTTCCCACAGCCTCACTCTCCCTCTATTTTTTTTTACTTTTTTTTTGGTCAGAGGCATTTTATTGGAATATGTCCACCACCACTTGCATTTACAACGGAACCACACACCCCACACACACAGCGACATTCTGGTCGGGTGGAGGACACCGGGTCGCGGCTGGGGTCCTGGCCCTGCCACTGGACGAGGGCGGTCACGGGCTGGTGTGCGTGCGGAGTCAGCTGGCCACCTTCCGACTGCAGGCAGCGCAAAAGTTCCTGCACGCCGCCCCTGCACTGGCCTGGAGCGTCACGGCCTCCTTCCTCCTGAAACAGCTGGGGGGGTCTGCAGTGCTCCAAGCAACTATTCTACATGGACCTGCAGGGCCTCCCACTGGGACAGCTGCCACCCTTCTACAGAAGCGTCCTGCAGACATGGAGCTCCCTCGCCGTCAGGAGGCTGAACCAACCGCGATCGGCCGAGGATCTGGTCTTCGAACCGATCCTCAGGAACCCACAGACAAAGCTGCCATCCACCACCACCACCCCTGGCATGGAGAGGCGCCTCGCCAATGCGCGGCTCACCAGGATGGGGGATCTGGTGGAGCCTGAAACACGGGGCCGGTGGCTCGGACCAGCAGACATGGCCGCAAAGACAGGGCAGCAGTCGCTCCGGGTGGCTGCCCGGATCCTGGCCGAAGCCAAGGGGGCCTTCTCAGTGGCAGCGGGGAGAACGCCCCCCATCGGCGTTGGGGATGACGAGGCCTCTCTCGATCCCCCTCCACCGGAGCTCTCAGTCGTGCCACTGCATCGCCAATGCCGACAAACGAAGGCGGATCACAACCTGTGCCGGCTATAAGACCTACCGGAGGTGGCCTTCGCAAATGTAAAGAGGAAGGTGCTCTACTCCTACATGGTCCGGTTCCACCAACAGGACACCCTGAGGAGCCACAAGGACCATGCCTGGAGGAAAGCCCTGCCCTGTCTCTCCGGAGAGGCCTCGCTGGAGGCAACTCTACTGCAGACCGACGTACAACCGCATCGGCGACCTCAGCTGGAGCATCGCCCACGGCACCGTCACCACCAACGTCTCCCTGGCGCGCTTCACCGACACGTCCCCGGAGTGCCGGTTCTGCGGTAAAGCGGAGACGGTGGCACAACAATACGTGGAGTGCAAGAGCCTGGACTCGCTGTTCAAGGTCCTGAGAAACATCCTTCTAAGGTTCAGCCTCCACTTCTCCCCGACGGTCCTCATCTTTGGATACCCGAAGGGCGATGGACCCCAACATCTTCAGGGGCTGGTCAACGTGCTCTTCGGCTACGCCAAGCTCGCCATATACAGGGCGAGGAAGGTGGCCCTGGAGGGGCAACGTCCAGCCAGCAGCCTGGGCATCTTCCGCGCTCTGGTCGGAGCCAGGGTGTGGCTGGAGTTCCGCCATGCGCGGCTGACCCACGCCGTGCCGGCCTTCAAGGAGCAGTGGGCACTGGAGGAGGCCGTGTGCTCGGTAGCAGATGACGGAGAGCTCTGCATGCAGATCTGAGCTACCCGTCGGAGGCCGTTTGACTGTGGGAAGGGCTGCGTGCAGATGCAGCACTTGTCGTAGTTATAAAGAAAAAAGAGAGAGCGAGAGAGAGCCAAATGGAGTAGGAAGAGAGGGGGCAGAGAGAGAGGGGGGGCGGAGAGGGGGTAGAGAGAGAGGAGAGGCAGAGAGGGGGGTAGAGAGAGAGGGGGGGGGGGCAGAGAGGGGGGTAGATAGGGAAGGGGAAAGGAGGGAGAAAAAATATATATTTCGTTGGGTCTTTCATTTAAAAGGGGGGTTACATAAAGCAAAGCATTAAAAAAACACCGAAATGATGAACGGAGCAAAGTGCCGACTACACCGAGCATCTTGTTTCTTCTGATCGTTAAAAAAAATACAACGGAACCACATTCACGTCTATTTCAATTTCAGTTACATTGCAAAGCCGTGCACATTTTATTATCAGGTTGCTGGATAGTGCAGCCATGTCCCCAAATTATTTAGATCCCACCAGACTGTACATACTCAACACAGTTATTGCAAACAGGTATTTACAGCTTTCCAATGCATTTCCACGTTGTTTGGAACGAGGTTCGACGGTTTGCTTTATATGCCAGGAACTTGATGACAATCCAAAAGCACAATGGAGAGCTATACAACACAAGCCGAAGCACCTCCACAGGGTGTAGGTGGTTACCCCTGTCAGTTGGCACACCCTTGGGCTCAGGACTACTATAAGGCTGTAATCACAGCAGTCGTGGCATTGGCATTCACTCTCCCTCTAACACTTTCCCTCCCTCTCCTTCTCACAGTCACATTATCCCTCTAACACTCTCTCTCTCACAGTCACACTCTCCTTTTCACAGTCTCACTCTTCCTCTAACTCTCCTGCCCACAGTCCCTCACTCTCCCTCACACTCTCCCTCACACTCTCCCTTCCCTTTCCTGCCCACAGTCCCTCACTCTCCCTCACACACTCTCCCTCCCTCTCAAACTCTCCCTCTCACACTCTCCTGCCCACAGTCCCTCACTCTCCCTCACACTCTCCCTCGCCGTCTCACGCGCTCGGTCCCCCTCACGCACCCACGACTCGCCTTCCCACACATCCACACAGCCACGCTGCCAAGACAAAGCTCCCCCCTCCCCTGCAAACTCTATTGGCGCAAGTGCCGTGAGCGAGAAGCAGCACTGATGAAGGACGCCAGGGCGCACGAGGGGGTGGGCAGCACCACGCCCGACCGCCTTCGTCTCGGTCATCGGCGAGGCTCCTCCGGCAGGGGAGGCTGCGTCCGCTGGGTCACGTAGCCCAAGTGCCCAGCCACCGCGTGCCCAAGCAGCTTCTGTTCGGCCGGAGCGAGGGGGCTAAACGGGCGTGGCACGGGCTAGAGAAGCGATGGAGTGGACTTGCCGATGACCCGTACCAGCCGTGCCAAGATCGCCCTCTGCGGAGGAGGCTCGTGAAGGGCGCTGCCGGGGTGTTGAAGGCAGTCGTCCTCCAACAACAATTGAGGACCGAGCAACGCTCACAACAACGATCGGAGCGCCGGGCGGATAAAACGCAGCGAGTTGGCACAGTAGGGGGCACGGGTGGTGCATCTGCCAGTCATCTCGGTCAAACCATGGCCACCTGGGTCTGTCCCGTGATCTGCCAGCGAGCCTTGCACACTGCATGTGGTCTCAAAGTGCAACTAACCTGGCACAAGCGCCGTGGTGACATCGGCACATGGTGGCGAACGGCTGCTGCTGTTGTTGCGATTGAGTCCGTTTCGCGTTGACGTGTCTAGAGTTCATTGCCCACGTATCTGTTGATCAGTTTTAAAATGCCGGTGCCACACCTGGGACCGACTGCACTCTGCTGGCCGTCATTCCGCCCCAGACGCACAGAATCAGCTGCCTTCTTCCTCCTCTTACCGATGTTGAACTTCTTTCGCACCGCACGTAGCCGACCGTGCTAATTGGAGGTGCGCGGGAAGGACAATTAACTTATCACACAAAAAAGCAGTTTTAAAGAAATCAACCTATGGCGGATGTAGATGCAGAGCCACAACGACAATTTCACATCCAGGTGGTTATCAAGCCAGACAACCGCGCCTGGAGCAGAGGAGTACAGTGAGGGAAAAAAGTATTTGATCCCCTGCTGATTTTGTACGTTTGCCCACTGACAAAGAAATGATCGGTCTATAATTTTAATGGTAGGTTTATTTGAACAGTGAGAGAGAATAACAAAATCCAGAAAAACGCATGTCAAAAATGTTATAAATTGATTTGCATTTTAATGAGGGAAAAAAGTATTTGACCCCCTCTCAATCAGAAAGATTTCTGGCTCCCAGGTGTCTTTTATACAGGTAACGAGCTGAGATTAGGAGCACACTCTTAAAGGGAGTGCTCCTAATCTCAGCTAGTTACCTGTATAAAAGACACCTGTCCACAGAAGCAATCAATCAATCAGATTCCAAACTCTCCACCATGGCCAAGACCAAAGCGCTCTCCAAGGATGTCAGGGACAAAATTGTAGACCTACACAAGGCTGGAATGGGCTACCAGACCATTGCCAAGCAGCTTGGTGAGAAGGTGACAACAGTCGGTGCGATTATTCGCAAATGGAAGAAACACAATAGAACTGTCAATCTCCCTCGGCCTGGGGCTCCATGCAAGATCTCACCTCGTGGAGTTGCAATGATCATGAGAACGGCGAGGAATCAGCCCAGAACTACACGGGAAGATCTTGTCAATTATCTCAAGGCAGCTGGGACCACAGTCACCAAGAAAACAATTGGTAACACACTACGCCGTGAAGGACTGAAATCCTGCAGCGCCCGCAAGGTCCCCATGCTCAAGAAAGCACATATACATGCCCGTCTGAAGTTTGCCAATGAACATCTGAATGATTCAGAGGACAACTGGGTGAAAGTGTTGTGGTCAGATGAGACCAAAATGGAGCTCTTTGGCATCAACTCAACTCGCCGTGTTTGGAGGAGGAATGCTGCCTATGACCCCAAGAACACCATCCCCACCGTCAAACATGGAGGTGGAAACATGCTTTGTGGGTGTTTTTCTAAGGGGACAAGACAACTTCACCGCATCAAAGGGGCGATGGACGGGGCCATGTACCGTCAAATCTTGGGTGAGAACCTCCTTCCCTCAGCCAGGGCATTGAAAATGGGTCGTGGATGGGTA